AAAAAACACGATACACTAGTAAGCAAAGAGGAATTTCCGTTACAGATTAGTAAATCGACGAGTAACTGAAACAGTGATGTTGCAACATATTATGATGATATCAAAAATCTGAATGCACAGAATTTTACAATTAAAAGAAACCGTGGACACTTCTGATAAACAATTCATGGTTATAATAACACTACCACCAGAACATTTAACAACTTTCTGTGCATATTTACATTTTCGTCTGAATGCATAGGATATGGTGGGAAAATCATGAACAGGTCTATTGTCGCATATTATGTAAACCGCATCAAAAGTATATTATCCCTAGAAGTGAAATTCGATTGATTCAGGCATGAATAAGAGAAATTTAGATGAACTACAACTGGAATCCATAATAGGGAAAGTTATAATATACAGAGTGAGTCAGAAGTATGTTTAAAAACTTCGTGTGCGTGTTCCATGATCAAAAATAAGAAAACATGTTCCTATGAACATGCGGTCGCAAATGCTTCTTTTTCAAAATAATAGCCAAAAATAAGTTTCAATGTATGCCTCTATTGCGAAGTGTAAGGACAGGGATGTTTCTTTATAAAAGATGCTCAGAGGTTGTTCCTCCATTCTCCACACATGCACGAGCACGACGTACACAAGACTGACGAATTCGTTCGTACACACCAGGGTTTCCTCGAATCATCTGGCTTGCATTCTGCACACGTTCCCATAGGTCGTCTTCATTGTTTATGGGTGTTGCATAAACGACGGACTTTAAGTGGCCCCACACATAAAAGTCCAATGGAGTCAGGTCCGGTGACCTCGGAGGCCACGCTACTGGGCCACCGCGTCCAATCCATCGCTGAGGATACTGTTCATTGAGATGATATCTGACGCGACGGGAGAAGTGTGCTGGGGCTCTGTCGTGCATAAACCACATTTGTCTTCTTGTATTCAGTGGTACATCTTCAAGGAGACGTGGCAAGTGTCTTCTTAAGAATAGCCGATATGAAGGTCCTCTTAGACGTGATGGAAGCATGTGTGGACCAATAAGCATGTCGCCAACAATTCCTGCCCAAACGTTAATTGAAAATCTTTGCTGGAAGCTGAATTCACTTTGATATAAAGTCAATTCATTGAAACTTATTTTTGGCTATTATTTCGAAAATGAAACATTTGCGAGCCCATGTTCATATGAACATTTTTTTTCTAATTTTTGATCCTGGAATACGCACATGAAGTTTGTAAACATACTTCTGACTCACCCTGTATAGTGATAAGCTTGAGATACCAAGGTCCATGATGTAGAGAAATTATTATAGAAACAGTATTGGAAATTGACGCATTCGGCAAAGGCTTGTACATAACAGGTTCCGCTGGAGCAGCAACCCCACGGCTCTTAATTAGTTACTACAGTGCTGTTTCGCTTCTGCCACAACCGCTGTCCAAGGAAGGATCTACCACGCAGATACACAACATGCGGCCGACATACGGCACAACACGCAATAGGACAAGACTCGTTTGAGAACTGTCTTCCGGTGTTGGCAGTTGCGTCTCTTCGGTGTCGACCGTCAGGTTGGAAGAGACATTTCGCAAATGAGTCCTTTGTTTCATAAAGACACATTTCGCAAATGAGTCCTTTGTTTCATAAAGACACATTTCGCAAATGAGTCCTTTGTTTCATAAAGACACATTTCGCAAATGAGTCCTTTGTTTCATAATGAGTCCTTTGTTTCATATCGCATTTCGCAAATGAGTTCTTTGTTTCATAAAGACACATTTCGCAAATGAGTCCTTTGTTTCATAAAGACGCATTTCGCAAATGAGTTCTTTGTTTCATAAAGACACATTTCGCAAATGAGTCCTTTGTTTCATGTCATGCCGCGTGTTGTGTCTCTTCGGTGTATGAAATGGTCTACCGATGGAAAAGGCTCTACATCTAGTCTTTTCAAAAGCAGAATATGTAACACGATCCATTCTGCGTGGTTCTTCGTTTACTAACCAGAATATGAGACCAACAAATGTAACAGAGTTAACTCCGAAAAACATAAATGCAAACCCGAAGGCAACCAGTTCTTCCAGCCTCGGCCTGGCGGTACAGAAACAGAAAGTCGTCTGAGATTTGATAATATTGAACAGGAGTACCACAAACATTCCTAAATGCTCCACAAGTTGATATCCAATCATGCGACACACTGACGCCGAGTGGTCATATCTAAGACATTTACACTTTGCACAGATTGACATCTTACCTGACAAAACTTATATATCGGGAAATCAGTATGTATGGAATCGACAGTAAGATAACCCTCGGGAAAATGATATTGTATCCTTCGTTGTTTGGAGGACAGCGTCTCTCTTGCATGTACAAGAACCCATCCCGTTACGCGTTGTAGTTTAAAATGTTTGATTTTATTTAATATAGTTTATGTCACTGACAAACCATAGTTCAACACTTACACTTTCATTATTAACTCTAAAATTCCCGTCGTGTATTGGGTAAGGGGCAGTTTATTTCATTCTGAAAAAAAATTTGGGGTCAAATGGAATATCTTCAGAAATGGACTGATAGTCAAGTTGTTAGATTCTTATACTTTGTATAATGAATTTTGAGGGTTCTTCTCAAAACATCACATTGGTGTTTTCAAGTTTAGTACACACAACTGAAAGGGTACTCTACTCAAAATGTATGCTGTGATTAGAACAGTTTTACAGTAGGAAAATGATAAACACAAAATCACTTAAAATTAATAATAAATGTTATTAATGTTATGGTTTCTTTTCAGAATTGCTCCTGACAAGTCAGCGTTTCCATACTAAATATTTAAAATATAAAAACTCTAAATTTAAAGCTAAAGAAACTATCAACAGATCAATAATTTTTACAAATTCGGTTGTTTCAGTCTTTATCTGAATTTTGCTGGAATTGACCTAAATAGATATCCCATATCAAAAGACACAATTTGTTAAAGTCGAAAGCATTTGGAAATACCTATCCTTGTGAGAAAGTGTTCAGCTTACTGTACAACGTAAAAATGAGAACTATGACGTGTCTTATTAACACATGGACAGATTCGTGCGAATCGTAAGTACCTAATTGTGTTCGTACATGTAGAATAATGAATCACATACTCAGAAACTGTATATAACAAATACAGGATGTACCATAAAGATGTATACACATTATAATACGGAATTGTTCCCACCGTTCGTCAGCAGTATGGAGATGAGGACATGTGAAATCAACCATCGTGATGTCAGGACCTGTCTTGACAATAGTTTTCCCAGCAAAAATTTTGGTAGCTGCTTGTCAGTTAGTTCATCACCGCTGTCAACTGTGCCACAAGCTAACGGTGGTCATTTTGAACACCTACACTAGATTCGCTAATTCACGAAGTACTAATGCTGACATACGTAATGGTTTAATTAATTAAGATGCATTTATTTAATTCATTGAATGTGTGTATACATCTTATTTTTGGGACACTCTGTACAATTCTTGTATTAATATTTTAAATTTCATGCGTATTTCAACAGGTCGTTATGTAGCGAAGGTTAGAATCTTGATGCGGAGTATTTGTTATCGGAATACGAGGTGCGATCGGAAAGTTTCCAGACTGTGTCAATACAGGGCGAACCGAATGTAGTACGAGCTTCTGCCGCTAGGGGGTGCGGCCTCCATTCATAGTGAATCACTGTGCCAGCCGGCATCATCGAATTAGCATTTGTTTCTTAGTTACGGGCGTTTTGGTAGTGCATTACACCGACCCCCCCTCGGAATGGCGGATTTTCATGAACAAATCAAATTTTGCCAAAGACTCGCCAAAACGGCTACGGAAACCTATGAAATGCTAAAGCAAGCATTTGGGGAGTCCGCAATGGGTCGTGCACAAACTTTTGTGAGGCATTC